CGTATATATAAATAAACTGCAAACACACATATTCGACTAAAAACATAATTCTCATTCAAAATGGAATTATCAGAAACTGAAAGCCAAACTTTTATAATGTACCCTAACAACAAAATGATAAGTCACTTGCAAAAATTGGGCAAGTTGCAAGATACGTGTCATCATGCATGTCGTTGAGAGGGGCCACAACGCATCCCAGATATATTCTATTTTAAAGGTTTTTTTTTCAATAAATAGCAGGGCCTCGAATCCGTAAACATCATTAGAAAATACTTCAACAATTTACCCGAGTATGCTAAGATCTCTTATTCTTCTTGTCTTTATGGCGTTAAGCAAGCTCTTGTATTAAAGAGGCTCGGAGTGGCTGAAAACCTCTAAATAAAATCAATGGTGCAGGCACCTTAATTCGTTGATTCTCCCTTATTTCTTTATCAAATCAGAACTAAATTAGTAAATCACACATTAAATAATGCACTATCACTTCCGTAGTCCTGTTGGCAAAAACAAACGTAAACATGTTTTTATGTTTTCAACTAAGTATGTATTATATTTAAATTAAATATGAATCATGTATTACCTAATTATGCATAATGAATAAACTAAATTTAGATTATGTACTACATTAGTTATATGATAAAAAATAAAAGTGGTATTAAATTAATTGTATAATAAGAAATATTTACAGATTTGATCAGAGTTTAATTTATTTAATATATTATTGATTAAATATAATAATAATAATGTTATATTATTGATTCAAATATAATAATAATAATATTTATTATATAGTAATAAAAATTTTAATTGATTAATATAAGTTATTAATTTACCTAAATCAATTGCTAAGATTGAACTTCATATCCTTGTTTTAAATTCCTCTACATCTTAATAAAGGGAGGTTGACATGCCTCTTGGAACGCCATGTGGCTAGCCTAAAATTTTTGGTTTATTTTGAGGTAGAAAATGTGGTGAGTGGGGGGAACTTGTTAGGTGGTGATTGTTTATAGTTTCAATAGTAAAAAAACTTGTTTTTATTTGGTTTATTTATAACTATAGTTAAATTTAAAAAAAGGTGATGTTGTTAGTTGTTAGTGGATATATTAAAATAATATTTAAATAAAATAATTAAAGTTGATTTGATGTAAAGTAGGAGAAAAATTATTGGAAGTGATAGTTAGTTAGAATTATGTGAGTGGATGAATAGTGAATTAAAGTTGATGTGATATGTAATAATGATTGGTTGATATTATTTAATTATATTATTAATATTGAAGATAGTGGGGTAAAGTTAAAGTTGAATTAAATTTGAGTTTTGATTGGATTTTTTACTATTAAATTTATATACAATCACACCTTTAGAGACAAGACACTTTGGCGTATAGGATACTTAGCCTTAGTATCACTGGGCCCCTCTTCATTTTAAATTATTTACTCCTAACGTCATCCCATTGATTTTGTTCACTAACTTTTATTATACATATCATATATAATTATATAATATAACATAAGCAAAACTATAAATTGAAAATGTTAATGTATTCAACAAAATAAATACATTTATTAATGTATATTTTGTCAAAGTAATAAATAAAAATAAAAATTATTTTGAAAGAAAATAAAATTTGAGAAGAAATTGAAGTGCAATGAACAGTTCAATTCTATATTAGCACAATATTATTTAAATTATCGGGCGAAAATAAAACGTAAAGTAGAGCATATTATCGCACAACTTCGAAATAAGTTGCATCGTAGAGTAGAGTTACTCTTAAACTTTTTATTGTTATTTTGCCTGATGATTATGCGAAATTTTAGGGTGATGGATGCAAAAACGAGCATACTCGTTTGAATTGAAAAAAAAATTAATTTGTCTTGAAAAAAATATTTTTTAGACCATTTATGCTGGCGTGGGTACACCTTTAAAAAAAGCTGATAATTTTTGTGGTTGGCACATCCTGCAGTTGGACTTGACCAGGGTCGATGTAATTGAGGTGTGATCACTCTTTTGCCAATATGGGCTATTGGCAACCGTCAGTTGTTAGCAGCGACCACCATTCGGCTTCCCTTGTACTCTGTATGTTCATCACAAAATATTTCTAGATCCCAATAGACCCAATGCCAAATAGCTGCCAAAAAGCATAAGCCAGAAAACACAATATGTGCCCCAGCTACACCTTCATAACTCCAAAACTTGTAAAAAGAGATGCAAGAAAATTGGCACCAAACAAACGAAGCGAAGTGAAGTAAAAAAACCACCATAGTACGAGGTTCAAATCAGACAATCTCTTCCCGTCTTAGATCGGCAAAGGGCTTATTCACGAGCTAGCGTTTTCCCGATCTCATAAATCGACCCCTCGATCGCATATATCTCAAACCTTTGTTTGGCAGGCCTTGTGTATGATTTGACCTCTTTTTAGGAAAATTTGTTTTTGACGCATATCAGCAAGTTGAGTGATCCTCTTATGTTCTTAATTTGAATAATTTCCCGATCTAGACGTTAAAAAGTGATTAGTTTGGCAAAAAAGACAGCCGCGATACTTCTAGAGTGTACGGTTTCAATATTTCCCATACGCAATCCTTTGTATAGACGTTGTGCGGTCGGACGCTAAGATGGAATAAACCCGCCGACCGCCCGTCCTCCCCTCGTACGGACGATTGCCAATCGCCGTCGACCCAAAACCATTCGGGTCTTGCAAACTGACTATTCCTAGTGTCAGAGCTAACCGAATTGGATAGGAAGGATGGTTTATAAGGATTCCCTATTGCTGGCATAGACGCATAGGAATTCATTCTTCCCTACTCTTTCTAAAGACACCGGCTCCACTAAAGCAGGAAGACTGAGACTGTGGTTAGTCTAGCTAGCACATGGAAAGGAAACTTGGTAAGGAAAAGAAAATAAGTGATTTTATGATAGATCCGTCGAGGTCTTGAAATTAGATATATAATCATAATGGAAACAGCAACCCTAGTCGCCATCTTTATATCTGGTTTACTTGTCAGGTAGAAGTGCGTTCGATTGATTCAATATTGATGAATCTAGAAAAGAGGGTAGCTGGGGCACATATTGTGTTTTCTGGTACCATTGTTGTAGTTTCAAGGTCAAGGGAAGTAGATCTAAGAAGTAGATCTAAGGTCTTGGCTTCAGCTGCCGGAGCTAAAGAGTAAGAATCCATGTTACTTACTACATTTCGGCAGGGGCCCTCCTCTTGGTTCAATCATCACTTCCTATTGGAGCGCATGTCAATTACATCGAGCCTATTTACTTATAAAATGAAAAGGGATTTGGATAGATCTATCCCACTTTTTCAGGTTAACCAAAGAGGTTTAGTACATGAGTTTTAAACTCTTATAATTAGTCTATCCGAAGAGGTCGACTTGAATCACCTTTCTCATGCGCATAACCAAAAAAAATATCATAAAAAAGCTGAAAAGAGTTTCTTGATCAGATCTTAATTAAGGAGGAGTAGGAAATAAGTAGGAAATAACCAAATAACCAAGAGGCAGAGATTTTTTTTATGGATATTCTAAATACGAAGATGCTGATCTTTTTCCAAGTGTCTTTAATGTATCGAATGTAGAAGGGAAATTGTTGTAAGTTGTTGTTTCTCAATGTAGTTGACACATCTTAACGCTGATATCTCATACAAAAAGTTATCCATTACAGAATAAGTCGAGAGCCCATACATACTGAAAATTAAGATAATTGGCGGACTCTTGTGGTCAAACTAAATACACGAGCAAAACAAATAGTTTCAAAACTAATAAGCGTGGCGGGTTTTACAACAAATTGGTCATTACAGAAATAATATTTGATTAATTATCTTTGATTTTGAAAACTAAAACTCATGTTTTAACAGTTCTACGTGGATTCAATTTTTTGTCGTATAATTTATTTAATTTATCAATTCTTTTAGGTGCATTTGTAAGTACAAATTATTTTCAATAGTCGTTTTATACAATTTATGATGAAATTGTTTAGAATTTGGAAGTAGCAGCTTCAAACATAAATACTTTGGTATTTTGGGCCAACTGTGCATCGCACAACCAAGAGATTCTTAGTACATAGACAATAAATGAAAGGGAAATTTGTACCCTTCCTACTAGATATTAAATTATTTTTAAATTTACCTTCATGAAAAAGTATTTTCACATATACCTAAACCACCTAATTTATTGAAGAGATTACATCCATTCAGTTTCATGGTAACTGTCTCGTTCACAAATGGCATGCCGTGATTTCCGCCATCATTTATACCAGAAATAAAAAAAAAAAAAAAAAAAAAANAAAAAAAAAAAAATCATGATCTTCAATTTATATTCGAATCAACCCTAGTTTTATGGAAAAAATGTGACATTTGAATTGCCAACCTTTTCTTAATCGTCAGAAAAAAAAAAACTCAACAACAACGAACATATACTACTGAAACATTTGATGATCGGAGTTCTTGCAATCGAATAAGTTAACCGAAGATATAATACAGAAAATCGTGACTTTACGATTCAGATACATCGAGGTATATTTACGTAATTATGTTAGTATATATTCCACTCAAGCAGTCGCTAGGTAGTATATTTGGAGTTTATGTTAGTATATATTCAGTGTATGTTGCAATATTAATTCACGCAGCCACCAGGGTGGTATATTTTGAGTTTATGTTAGTACATATTCAGTATATGTGCAATAAAAAACAAGTCTTCCAGATAAAAATTACTTCAGATATACTCGAATACACCCAACATATAACCCCAAGAAAAAAAGGAATTATTAAACATATAACCAGAGAAAAGTTACTTCGGATATACTCGGATATACCCGGATATACCCAATATACACACCACATATCTCCATATACACACCTCGCTTGGTCGATCAAACGGCCAGTTGCAGTCACCATTTTTTTTTTTTTTTGTGTACGCGCCCGCCATTAATGGCGGATCGAGGTCCAAGCTCGATCCTTCTCCATCAGTGCAAACTCCATCAGTGCTCAACTCATAGTCTCTGGTCAAAAAGCGAGGACACCCTTCGTCTCGCCACGCCGTCTTGGGCAAACTCCATCAGTGCTCAACCCTCCGCCGCCGGTGCCCAATAAATCGCTCGAGTTCCCACAACCCTTGGTTGAAGTTGGTCGTCCGACGACCCCGCCACTCGCAAGCCGAAAGGAAGCCGAAATTTCCGACATGATTTTCCAATAGTGGCCTTGTTGCAGAGGATCGTCGAATATGTTTTTTTTTTAATAGATCTGGTGATTTTTGTCTTCACCATTGAAGGAGAGGTTGTCTGCAGAGATAGAGAATTGAACGTGGGGCGGTGGGAGAGAGAGAGAAGAGAGAGAGAGAGAGAGAGAGAGAGAGAGAGGATATATATTGGTCCAATTATTTTGGAAGTATATATGTAATCTCAATTAATGATCTCAATTGCTTTAATTTGCCAAAAAATCCGCAGCAGACGGTTATTCACATCTTAGGTAAAATTGTAATATTTTTTGCTTGATTTAGTATTGTTATAAATAAGAATATAATGGTTACATAAATGTAATATAAATCATATTTGAAGGTGCAGGGTGTAATTTCCTCTAAAAATTGTCCAACTCACAAAGACTAAACTCCTTGTATTATGAGCCCAATAAAAATTGTCCAACTCATAAACACTAAACTCATTGTATTACTATTAGCCCATATGAGACCAATAAATAAGCTTAATATAATAAACTGATAAAACATTTAACACAATAATTAAACAAGAGAAAAGAGTGCAGAAATCAAGCAAATAAATACAGAGGGAAACAAAAGAGGGGAAAATAAGGAGAAAATGAAAAAGTTAAAGAGTTCATCAATTTTTGGTCCAGCTGTACACGAATGGATACTTACAAGATAACAAAATTCTTTCTGTTTATTTTAGTAAAGATAAAAATTACTCTTCTTTATTTTGTAGATAGTGGTAAACATATCTTTTTTATGGAAAAATTGCACATT